GCGGCGATTGGTTAGTGGGAGGAGATCTCAAAGTGTTCAATAAGATCACGTGGAACGACGGTCTCGATGACTATCGGCTGACACCCAATCAGATCAAGAAGAGACTCAAAGACATGAATGTAAGGAGGAATGGAAAGTCAGTGTGTGGACGGTTTCCCTGTTATCCAGTCTTATCCTGAATTTTATTTCATTTTTCTGTCATTTTATAATGACTGACAATTTATAATAACCAATAGTTAATTAATCCGTGAGATTATTGAATATATTCTTAATAGTTATTAATAATTTTGTTGCGAAGATTTTATTAATACAAGTATTTTGAGAAATAATTTAAATTTAATAAATTGATATAATATTGCATGAAATGGTTGAGCAAACAGTGGGTTAGAATTAAAATGTTAAAAGATATTTTAGTTATTGAAAAACCACAAAACAACCAAACATTAAAACTTATTGACCATTCATAAAAAATTGTAATACAATAGGAAATGAAAATGTTAGTCAATCATTTGAAACCAATACTAAATACCATCTGTTTCTACGACCCGATAGGCGGACGCGGTGTTTGCGTTTCAATTGCGAAACCCCATACATAACGGACACGCGTTACTAATGCAAGAAACCAAACAAACGCTCCTAAAGCGGGAGTTCAAGAATCCGGTGCTTTTGTTGCACCCATTGGGCGGTTGGACTAAAGACGATGTTTGCGAAACCCCATACATAACGGACACGCGTTACTAATGCAAGAAACCAAACAAACGCTCCTAAAGCGGGAGTTCAAGAATCCGGTGCTTTTGTTGCACCCATTGGGCGGTTGGACTAAAGACGATGACGTGCCCCTCGATGTCCGCATACGACAACACGAGGCCGTCCTCCAGGACGGAGTACTGGACGCTAAGAGCACTTTGATGGCGATCTTCCCGTCGCCCATGTCTTACGCGGGTCCGCGCGAAGTCCAGTGGCACGCGAAGGCACGACTCGTGACGGGCGCCAACTTTTACATCGTGGGCAGAGATCCGGCCGGACTCCCCCATCCCGACACCGGCGACGACCTCTACGACCCGACCCACGGCAGCAAAGTGTTGGCTATGGCTCCGGGGCTCACAAAGTTTGAGATCATTCCCTTCAAAGTCGCCGCTTATAATAAAGCCGAGAAACGGATGGAGTTATTCGACGAGAGGCGCAAACAGGACTTTGAATTCATCTCTGGGACCAAAATGAGAGGCTTTGCCAGAGAGGGTGTGTCCCCTCCCGACGGCTTTATGGCACCCAAAGCCTGGAAAGTGCTCTCAGATTTTTATCAGCAAAAATGACCACTTTTTATACACTAAACATATTATTTTGTTTTTCTTAATTTAAAAGTTAGTTGAAAATTGACATTCAATTGCTTTTTCCATTTGAGCACTCATTTAGGTGTCAATACTTAACAGTAAATCGAGATCTGATTTCACGATTGAAACAAAACCCCTAAAACACACGTGATTTTCAAGTATTGACACCAAATGTATGGCCAGTGATAAGCGATTGACAATATTTTTATGCAATATTTAGTTTTAAAACAAAAATACAATTTTATTTCTATTTATATTTTAAGAAACTATTTATAAATTTAATATAAAATAAGGACTGATTGAACACAATACTAATTAAATACCAGATTTTGTGTTACAATTTCATTATGCATTACCCGTCAGTGTTTGAAACAATCAAAAATGAGTGCAAACTGTATAACAATCACAAACTGCGCGCGTATTCAAGCATTTGAATACACTTTGCATTGCATTCACTCAACAGTTGTCCGCAAAACAAGTCATCATTCGATTCATTCAACTCTTAATTATCGCTGACTTGAAGTGAAGACTGGATCCGATTGAATGGCATTCAATTTGGACCAATTCGTTGACCTCACGGCTGACGGCAAAGGTATCGTCGTTCCCATCGATGAACTCAAATGCAGTATTTGTCTCAATGTCTTCAACAACGCTGTGGACACGCGATGCGGACACATCTTCTGCGACCACTGTCTCCGGGAATGGCGTTCAAAACCCGGTCCGGCAGTCAAACGCTGTCCTCAATGTCGGGAAGCATTGACCGCAACGAAGCGGACACGAGATATGACGGCCAATGAGAGCGATATCGGAGATGTGGTGAAAGCGAATCGCGATCTCAACCGTATTATCGGTCGCTTGAGAATCAAATGCCAGTACGAGTGGAACGGATGTAATGAAAAGATTCAATTGGAGTCAAAGGCCGCGCATCACAACAATTGTAAGCACCGGTTGTGCCGCAAGTGTGGCCATCCGGCGGGTGAGAGCGCCGGTCAGCACAACTGTATTGAGCTGTTAGTCAAAGACCGCAAAGTATTTATGGAATACAGCAACGAATGGAAGCATAAGTTTGAAGCCGTCGTCAAAGAGAAGGAAGAGATTAAAGAAAAGTTGGCCAAAATGTGTGCCAATTGTGTTGACTCGATATCACTGACATTTGACCACATGATAGACGTTAAGGAGATATTTGTGGGCAAACATCGGTTCACAGATTTGAAGATGCGTTTGCGTGACGATGGCATCACTCTATGGAATGCCGAGCATTACACCAATCAGTGCTCAAGAGTTTATATGTCGGTCAGGTATGCGGAGCTCCAGAGTCTGGCCATATGTGCGGACAGTTCGCTACCACTTCTGGTCATTAAACCCGTCGGCGCGAAGACCCTCGAGATCGCCAAAAGTTTGTCGATAGACAGCCATGTATTTGACGTCAATTCAAACGGTTTGTGACATAACTTTAATGAGTCGTTAATAACGACTGATTTTGTTGAAAATAATTGATTGTTTTATTTTCCATGATTTGTCAGATAAGAGTCTCAACACAATTGTGATTGTATTGAACAATGAATGGATACAATTGTTGACAACATTAGTCCTCTATAGCTGTCAACTAAAGAACAGTCGGTCGGAGTGTATGAGAATCGATGCGATCGAAGGACGAGTTCTATTGGACAACCGCTCCGAGACATACGGCTAACTGATGGACACAAATACTCCGTTAATATTCATTTGATTTGCATTGACTCCCCCATCCCGACACCGGCGACGACCTCTACGACCCGACCCACGGCAGCAAAGTGTTGGCTATGGCTCCGGGGCTCACAAAGTTTGAGATCATTCCCTTCAAAGTCGCCGCTTATAATAAAGCGGAGAAACGGATGGAGTTATTCGACGAGAAGCGCAAACAGGACTTTGAATTCATCTCTGGCACCAAAATGAGAGGCTTTGCCAGAGAGGGTGTGTCCCCTCCCGACGGCTTTATGGCACCCAAAGCCTGGAAAGTGCTCTCAGATTTTTATCAGAAAAAATGACCACTTTTTATACACTAAACATATTTTGTTTTTCTTAATTTAAACGTTAGTTGAAAATTGACATTCAATTGCTTTTTCCATTGGGCACTCATTTAGGTGTCAATACTTAACAGTAAATCGAGATCTGATTTCACGATTGAAACAAAACTCCTGAAACACATTATATGTCAAGTATTGACACCAAATGTATGGCCAGTGGAAAGCGATTGACAATATTTTTATGCAATATTTAGTTTTAAAACAAAAATACAATTTTATTTCTATTTATATTTTAAGAAACTATTTATAAATTTAATATAAAATAAGGACTGATTGAACACAATCCTAATTAAATACCAGATTTTGTGTTACAATTTCATTATGCATTACCCGTCAGTGTTTGAAACAATCAAAAATGAGTGCAAACTGTATAACAATCACAAACTGCGCGCGTATTCAAGCATTTGAATGCACTTTGCATTGCATTCACTCAACAGTTGTCCGCAAAACAAGTCATCATTCGATTCATTCAACTCTTAATTATCGCTGACTTGAAGTGAAGACTGGATCCGATTGAATGGCATTCAATTTGGACCGATTCGTTGACCTCACGGCTGATGGCAAAGGTATCGTCGTTCCTATCGATGAACTCAAGTGCAGTATATGTCTCAATGTCTTCAACAACGCTGTGGACACGCGATGCGGACACATCTTCTGCGACCACTGTCTCCAGGAATGGCGTTCAAAACCCGGTTCGGCAGTCAAACGCTGTCCTCTATGTCGGGAAGCATTGACCGCAACGAAGCGGACACACGATATGACGGCCAATGAGAGCGGTATCGGAGATGTGGTGACTGTGACTGTGAATCGCGATCTCAACCGTATTATCGGTAAATTGCGGATCAAATGCCCGAACGAGTGGAACGGATGTAAGGAAACGATTCAATTGGAGTCAAAGGCCGCGCATCACAACAATTGTAAGCACCGGTTGTGCCACAAGTGTGGCCATCCGGCGGGTGAGAGCGCCGGTCAGCACAACTGTATTGAGCTGTTAGTCAAAGACCGCAAAGTATCGCTGGAATACTGCAACGAATTGAGGCATAAGTTGGAAGCCGTCGTCAAAGAGAAGGAAGAGCTTAAAGAAAAGTTGGCCCAAATGTCCGCCAATTGTGTTGACGAGATATCACTGACATTTGACCACATGATAGACGTTAAGGAGGTATTTGTGGGCAAATATGGGTTCAAAGATTTGAAGATGCGTTTGCGTGACGATGGCATCACTCTATGGAATGCCGAGCACTACACCAATCAGTGCTCAAGAGTTTATATGTCGGTCAGGTATGCGGAGCTCCAGAGTCTGGCCATATGTGCGGACAGTTCGCTACCACTTCTGGTCATCAAACCCGTCGACGCGAAGGCCCTTCAGATCGCCCAAAGTTTGTCGATAAACAGCGATGTATTTGATGTCAATTCAAACGGTTTGTGACATAACTTTAATGTCTCATTAATAACGACTGATTTTGTTGAAAATAATTGATTGTTTTATTTCACATCATTTGTCAGATAAGAGTCGCAACACAATTGTGATTGTATTGAACGCTGAATGGAAACAATTGCTGACAACATTAGTCCTCTATAGCTGTCAACTGAAGAACAGTCGGTCGGAGTGTATGAGAATCGATGCGATCGAAGGACGAGTTCTATTGGACAACCGCTCCGAGACATACGGCTAACTGATGGACACAAATACTCCGTTAATATTCATTTGATTTGCATTACTATTAGTTTCACATTATTTTAAGTTAATTTTTATCAGCAAAAATGACCACTTTTTATACACTAAACATATTATTTTGTTTTTCTTAATTTAAACGTTAGTTGAAAATTGTTATTCAATTGCTTTTTCCATTTGAGCACTCATTTAGGTGTCAATACTTAACAGTAAATCGAGATCTGATTTCACGATTGAAACAAAACTCCTGAAACACATTATATTCAAGTATTGACACCAAATGTAAGGCCAGTGGAAAGCGATTGACAATATTTTTATGCAATATTTAGTTTTAAAACAAAAATACAATTTTATTTCTATTTATATTTTAAGAAACTATTTATAAATTTATTGACACCAAATGTATGGCCAGTGGAAAGCGATTGACAATATTTTTATGCAATATTTAGTTTTAAAACAAAAATACAATTTTATTTCTATTTATATTTTAAGAAACTATTTATAAATTTAATATAAAACAATAGTTAATTAAATTATTCGTGATTTAAATCATTCAAAACTTTAACCAAATGATGTCCAATCGCCTCGAAAGCGGTGATAGTCTTTGAGTCTTTGTTGTTCTCAAACACATCGATGGCCTCATCGCAAGCTTTGCCAATCATCGGATCCAATGGTATTCTTCCGAGTAATGGTATCCCTTTCTCTAGCAATTGATTCATACCGTCGACAGAGGGCTTGAAAATAGTGGACTCTTTATGACAATTGGGACACAAGAAAGCGGTCATATTCTCGACGACACCCAACACATTGAGTCCCACTCTTCGGCAAAAGTCTATCTGCTTTCGGACGTCCATTAGAGCAATCTCTTGAGGAGTGGTCACGATTATGACTCCTCGCAGATTCGAGCACTGCTTCAGATACGACACGAGCGACAAGTGTTCGTCGGAAGTGCCCGGAGGTGTGTCCACAACCAGATAGTCGAGTCGATCCCAATCGACATCAGCCAAGAACTGCTTGATTATGGTATTCTTCTTGGGTCCGCGCCATATGACCGCGTCGTCCGCCGAACTCAAGAGGAAACCGCAGGACATGACCGACAGGTTGTCGGACACGTAGATCGGCGACCAGCCGGACATCGATTGGTGCACTTCTTCGCCCTCAACGCCCATTGTCTTCGGTATAGACGGCCCGCAAATGTCGACATCGAGTAGACCGACGTTAACGGTCTTATCGGTGGCCAGATATCGGGCCAACAGTGAGGAGACCGTACTCTTGCCGACCCCTCCCTTCCCGGACATGACTAACACAATGTGCTTAACGTTCATAAGTTTGGCCGCGATTTCCGCCACTTTAGGGTCGGGTCCGGTCTGGAGGTCACCCGAAGAGCAGATCCCACGGTTTGGACAGCCGGCACAGGCGTCCGCTTTGCCCGCATCGGCCGACTCGACGCCCGGACAGTGTTCTGGAGGCACTTCCATAGCAGATGTCCGTCAATTGGTCACCGATTTATGGCCACAAATCTTAACGATTAATGACAACAATAATCACCAAAAGTGTTGACAATATGTTTATCACTGAAACACAAAACATGTGTTTTGTTTTGTAAACATAAATATCGTTAGAGATGTGAACGGTTTGTAAGGATTTCACATTCATTGTAATTATTGTGTTAATTATTTAATGACTTATAAATCATTGAAATTAATTTGTTTTTACATTAGTTTTAATTGTATTTAACATATAATTAATTGTATGAAAAGTATTACTGTTTTTCTCGACGTTTATGTGATTTTGAGCCGATTTTACGGTCCGTTTGATCGATAATTACGGCTAAAAATATGGCGAAAAACTTATCGATAATTTGAAATGCAATGCAAAATACAAAACAACAAAAACAACACAAATGTTAACTCTTTTGGCATTTAATCATTAATTTTGTTCACAATTTACTAATTAATGCATTGATTTAATCGTCAAAATGATTGAATGCCAGATAAATATGTGAAACACAAACTGATGGTCAGTTTAATTGCCATAAATCATGAATTTGTGACCACTTTTTATGACATTTATATTTTATTTAATTTTTGACAATTAAAACTCAATTAAACACTACTTTTAGTCCAGTGTTTAATTAAATAAATAATTAATAAATTTGTATTTTAAAAAATCAAATCACTTATCAATCGATATGTCATTAATTGCATGACTTTTATTGTATTACATATTTTTTGGTAAGTTTTTTACATTAAGTTTACAATTAATTAAACAATTGATTTACAATTAATTATTATTTCACATCTAATTGTCATTAGATTTCTCGGTATTTATTTAATAACTGGAATAAGCCGTCGATTGGTTTGATATGTCTTAAGAATGAACCACATTATCACCAATTGTTGGATCAGTTGTTCTTCGTTGCCATTGAAAGCCATCGTCGGTGTCGTCCACTCAAACACCAATCGTTATGTTATTTGAGAATATATTGCAATCAAAGACACACAGATATAAGCCGTTAAACCCATCGAGGAATGGATCCAAAGGGACCGCCAAATGGTTGATTTAATCGTCAAAATGATTGAATGCCAGATAAATATGTGAAACACAAACTGATGGTCAGTTTAATTGCCATAAATCATGAATTTGTGACCACTTTTTATGACATTTATATTTTATTTAATTTTTAACAATTAAAACTAAATTAAACGATACTTTTAATCCAGTGTTTAATTAAATAAATAATTAATAAATTTGTGTTTTAAAAAATAAAATCACTTATCAATCGATATGTCATTAATTGCATGACTTTTATTGTATTACATATTTTTTGGTAAGTTTTTTACATTAATTTTACAATTAATTAAACAATTATTATTTCACATCTAATTGTCATTAGATTTCTCTGTATTTATTTAATTACTGGAATAAGCCGTCGATTGGTTTGATATGTCTTAAGAATGAACCACATTATCACCAATTGTTGGATCAGTTGTTCTTCGTTGCCATTGTATGCCATCGTCGGTGTCGTCCACTCAAACACCAATCGTTATGTTATTTGAGAATATATTGCAATCAAAGACACACAGATATAAGCCGTTAAACCCATCGAGGAATGGATCCAAAGGGACCGCCAAATGGTTCCGTTTGGACCGCCTGTCCATTAGGGAATGGTTACTCATAGCTGTGGTCTTTTGCATTATCTCATTCCTCATATTCTACCAGTTTATACCCAACTCTTCACTTCATGGGTATGTGTTGACTAATTCATGTGATAATCAGTGTTTTAATCGCACATTGAATCGCTTTTCATAAAGATTTATACGAATTCCTCCGAAACCCAAATTCAAATGCTATTCAAACGAAGACCCGTTTCGGTCAACAGTACTCCGGGTGTCGCCGAACAGCCATTCATCCAATTTTCGATTACGATTGGATGCGAAGGTATTGGTGTTTGTGGAGACCCAGTACTCAAAACTCGGCCGACAGTTGATCGAGATCTTGGAGTCCAGTCGTATGCGGTAATGCCTTCATTGAACACAACCATTGCGTTAAACAACAACTTTTTAAACAATTTCTCTAATGAATGAACAATAGGTTTAAAGTGGAAATTGTGGGCAAAAGTCTACCGATGCTGACAAACCTGGAAAGGGGTCGCTTTGCGGTCATTATATTTGAAAATTTCAACAAATACTTAAATATGAATAAATGGAACCGAGAATTGTTGGACAAGTATTGCCGCGAATACAGCGTCGGTATTATCGGTATAATACAGCCCAATGAGGAGCGTAAGAGTGGCCTCCAGTTGCGTGACTTTCCACTACGAGTGGACACCGGTGTAGCCATTCGTGATTTCCGACTCAATCCACTCTCCCCTGTGTTACGCATGACTCGGGCCGGAGAGGTCCAGTTCGGGCCTCTGCCCGGCAATGATTGGGTGGTCTTCTACTCGAACCACACCTCTTACCAGCCGTTGGGTCAGGCGTTCATTCAATACCCTAAAGAGTTGTACACCAATGAAGTGGTAACCGATGCCAACACACCCGCCCCCACACCCAAGAGGCAACTCGTGACCACTGCTATACAGGTTTGTAATATAACTATCTGTAGATTAAGATATGTTTACTAATGTGTGTTAATGAATGGTTAGGATCACGGCTTATACGACGGAATACAACGAATACTGTTTGGGAATGGATTCACTTTTTGGGTCAACAAATTACTACTCTTGGACTCGATATCGTTCTTATCTCACGGAAAATTAAGTCTTCCGCTCGAGAGATACCTTCTCATTGATATCGACGACATATTTGTTGGCGAAAAGGGAACCCGAATGAAGAGATCTGATGTCTTCGAGTTACTCGA